CCTTATGAACATTTTACTATCATCATTAATTTACATGATTATCTTTAATTATCATTCTATTTCATCAGTACCACTATTTCTTTATCAATGGCAGTACTGGATTATCAACATTCTTATTGCAGAATATTCAGTGTTATCGTGAATTTTATGATAATCAATAACCATGATAAATTATCATATGTCGTTTTACTCTTCTTGATGTAACTACAATATTTGATATTAGTATATTTTTTCTGTCATTTTAGTGTTGGTGCTGATACTACAATATCCATATTCAATAACCTTATGGAAATCATCATTATAATTTTTAGGGATATATATATTTTTTTTGGGGTTTTGAGAATCTACAAATCTCTTTGCTTCCATAAATTCACATATCAATCTACATGTGACTGGATATTCAGTTATTACTGTGTGTGTTTATTACACAGAGATAAAAATAGACATTTGTCACAATGGGTTTGTGTGTGTGTGTGTGTGTGTGTGTGTGTGTGTGTGCTTGCTTGCGAATACACACATGGATATCATCGCGAAATAGGATTCTGCAATTCAAGGGCAAACAGAAACAAACTTACACGAAGTCTTTTATTCAATGAATCTCGAACAGGCTCAGCTGATAGAGAGAGGCTGAAACTCCACTGTACAATGGCGCATCTTAGACCTACGTCTTACCGAATAATGTATTTCATACATATTAACGTCACAATTTATTCCATGCAATGGATATTCATTTCAGAGGATGTACTCCATACGCATCTTTCAAGAGAAGAAAGGAGAAAAACTGACATCTTGTGGTCACTTTTATCGTAGCAAAGAGTATATACGCTTCACATACGCATATAGTCTTTGGTTGCATTCCTAGATCTTGTATTCCACACAAACCCGGCTCTGGATGGATATATTCACACACAGGGGAAAGCGGTGATCTAGTCCACTCCAAACACCCACTTAAAGAAACGTGCTTCTTTAAGACAAAGGAGGCTTGTCGTTCCGTTCTATAAAAGTTCATTCAGACTTTCGTTCTAACGACTGATAACAGATTTTTTACCTGTTTTCTTAATAGCAAGTGTTATGACATTTGTGTCACTGAATACAGCATCGAAATATCTACAAGGCAATACACTAGAAGAAAAAAAAATCATTTGTAAATCTTGTAAGAAGAATCAGAGAAAACAGGATATGCTTTAAAACACTGCCAAGTCCACCAATATATATATATATATATATATATATATATATATATATATATATATATATATATATATATATATATATATATATATATATATATATATATAAATTGATGTGTCATTTGTTTCAAATACTTGAAAGGAGTGCATGTACATTTATGCAAAGTTTCCAAACGAAAATGATAAAGGTCTACATTTGAGGCTAATACATGGAGAGGTATTTAAGTTATTAGTGAGGCATTAAAATAACTTGTAGTGTAACAGAAATAAACAAAGACAAAGAACAAATAGGAACATTGAATACAACTTTTCCTGAAAAATATAAAGCTCAAGATGATTACAAACAAAGTACAAGTTTTGTCACCAGGTATAGATTCCGAACACTTTAAACACATCTTATACTGGATGGCTGCCCCAGCAATAGACAAATGGAAAATACAAGAAACTTAATACTAGGAGAACATTGTTTGGACTGAAACTAAGAGTTACAATAACTAAATGACAGCATTCATGAGAGGTTGGAAAAATAGCACTGGAACAAAATAAATAACGTGATATTTCATTATCATTAAAACGAGTTTACGACATGTGTGTTTTCGAAATACATAATACCAAACATGACCATATATATGCAATTATCTTGATTCATAAGTTCTACAATTTCCAAAAACATGATCAAGTAAATGAATAAAGAAAAGCAACATAACATTAGCATGACACACACCACAACAGAACTATAAAAATAATAATAACAGTAACTGGAGGACACTGAGAATCACGGTTTTTTGGACCAGGGAGATGATTACTGAGGTAAAAAAAAGTGCGTGGGTTGCGTGGAAGGAGAAGAGTGCGCCGTCCGAGACATTAGTTGGTGAAAACGGGAGCCATGAAGCAGGTGACCATCCTGCCCAGGTTGTCCTGCACCTGGAATTCCACCATCATGGGACCGCGTACCTGTGGGGGGGCATTTGGGGGAAGGTTAGAGAATTGATCGCACCTGTTTATTGGAACTGGTTGGAGCAGAGTGTTTGATGCAATCATTATTGTATATCCATTACTAATCAAAATGATGATAATGATAACAATATAATATTAATAATAATGATTATTGGTGATAATAATATTAAATATAATAATAATAATAATAACAATAATAACAACAGTGATATGGATTATAATTATGATAATGATGATGATAATAAAAGTAATAATAATGTCAATAGTAATAATAGCAATAATAATAACAGCAACAATAATAGTTAAAATGATAACAAAATGATAATACTGAAAACGAAAATGATACAACTAATAATCATCACAACACCAACGGTCAAAATACCAACGAAGCGACACCAATCTCTCCTCCGACGGGCTTACCAAACGAGCTTGTTGGGGCACGACGATCGTCTTGCTAATGGTCGTCTTGGTGTTGGGGTAGACGGGGCATCCGGGGGTGGTCAGGTGGCACACGGGCTGCTTGGTCTCGCGGGGCATGGCCACTCGGGTGTTGCCGGCGCCCAGGTTGGTCACGGGCAGGCTCACGCGGGCGTAGATGCTGCTGATCATGTTGGTGATGGGGATATCTGGGCGAGGGAGAGAGAGGCGGAGGGCGTGAGGGCGGGTGGGTGGGTGGGTGGGTGGGAAGGTAAGTGGGGGGGAGGGGAGAGAAGGGGAGTGGGGAGGGGGAAAGGCAAAGGGCGTGAGGTCAGATGGGTGGTGGGTGGGAGGGGAGAGGGGAGTAGAGGAGAGGAGAGGAGAGGAGGAGGAGAGGAGAGGAGAGGAGAGGAGAGGAGAGGAGGAGGAGAGGAGAGGAGAGGAGAGAAGGAGAGGAGAGGAGAGGAGAGGAGAAGGTAGGAAAGAAGGAAGGAAGGAAGGAGCGGAAGGGAGGTGGGGGAAAGGCAAAGGGCGTGAGGTCGGATGGGTGGGAGGAAAGGGGGCGGAGAGCGGATAGGTCGGGTGGGAGGGAGAGAAGGGAGGTGGGAGAGAGGCAGAGGCGTGAGAGGAAGTGGAGAGAGTCAAGGGAAGGCGAGTGGGTTGGAAGAAAGGAAAGGGAGTGGGAGGAAGGGAAGGGAAGTGGGACGGAGTGAGAGAAGGGAAGTGGGAGGGAAGTGGCAGGGAAGGAAGAGAAGTGGAATGGAAGGCAAGGAAGAAAGGGAGTGGGAGGGAGGGAATGTTGGGGAGGAAGGAAGGAAGGAAAGAGAGAGAGAGAGAGGGGGGATAGATAGATAGATAGATAGAGAGAGAGAGAGGAAGGCAGGGAGGGTGGACGGAGGGAGGAGGAGAGAGAGAGAGAGAGAGAGAGAGAGAGAGAGAGAGAGAGAGAGAGAAGAGAGAGAGAGAGAGAGAGAGAGAGAGAGAGAGAGAGAGAGAGAGAGAAGAGAGAAGAGAGAGAAGAGAGAGAGGAGGAGAGAGGAGAGAAGAGAGAAAAGAGAATGGGACGGAGTGAGAGAAGGGAAGTGGGAGGGAAGGAAGGGAAGTGGAATGGAAGGAAGGGAGAGAAGGGGAGTGGGAGGGAGGGAATGTTTGGGGAAGGAAGGAAGGAAGGAGGAGGAAGAGAGAGAGAGAGAGAGAGAGAGAGAGAGAGAGAGAGAGAGAGAGAGAGAGAGAGAGAGAGAGAGAGAGAGAGAGAGAGAGAGAGAGAGAGGGGGGGTAGATAGATAGATAGAGAGAGGAAGGGGGAGAGGAGGCAGGGAGGGGTGGAAGAGGGAGGAATGGAGAGAGAGAGAGAGAGAGAGAGAGGAGAGAGAGACAGGGCAGGGGAGGGGAGAGAGAGGAGAGAGAGAGAGAGAGAGAGAAGAGGAGAGAGAGAGAGAGAGAGAGAGAGAGAGAGAGAGAGAGAGAGAGAGAGAGAGAGGAGAGAGAGAAAGAGAGAGAGAGAGAGAGGGAGAGAAGAGAGAAAAGAGAGTGGGACGGAGTGAGAGAGGGAAGTGGGAAAGGAGGGAAGTGGAATGGAAGGAAGGGAGAGAAGGGGGTGGGAGGGGAGGAATGTTGGGGGAAGGAGGGGGAAGAAGGAAGGAGAGGAGGAAGGAAGGAAGGAGAGGAAGGGAGAGGAAGAGAGAGAGAGAGAGAGAGAGAGAGAGAGAGAGAGAGATTAATAAGAGAGGAGGATATAGAGAGAATAGAGAGATCGTGATAATAACAACACAAAACACGACGTAAACACCAAAGCTATGCGACTGAGAATCCCGTACCTGAGTTATGTGTGAAGGTGATCTGGAAGGTGCCGGTCCTGCCCGGGATAATGAAACAGGGCCATCTGTTGCAACCTGTGACTTGCACGCTCTCAATCTGTGCAAGCTGGGGGGTTCCTGTAAAGAGATGCGGTTATTGGTGAGAAATAGTGGTTGTTTAAAGAGTCCTTGTTTGGAGATCGTTCGGTAGAATCAGTTTTGCCTGTGCGTGTGCGTTTCGTGACTGTGTGTGTGTGTGTGTGTGTGTGTGTGTGTGTGTGTGTGTGTGTGTGTGTGTTGTGTGTGTATATAATCCCCAATATACAGTATACCACACCGATTATACCAGAAGAAACAGACATCTTTTGTACGTGTCGTGGTGTTGTGTTCGTGACTGTAATATATATATATATATATAATATATATAATATATTATATATATATATATATATATATATATATATATTATATTATATATATATAATATATATATAATATATTATATATATATAACAAGCCCAATATCCAGTACAGCACACCCCGACCCGACCCCCACACAGCGGAGCAGCATTGCCAACGCCCAGAGCGCATCCGACAGTCAACTCACGGCAGTAGCGGAATCCTCGCTTGTCGTCCACCC